CAACGAAGAATGCTGCCCCACGAGGTCGACCATGGGGAGATTTTAAACAATTTTCACTGATGAAGGTTGGAACTAGTGAATCGGATGAGTGTTTCCTTGCATTTGCAAGGGATCTTTATGGGGTTCTGACATCAGGAAAAAAAGTTTTGTTCTTTCGCTCTATATGAATGTGAGAGGGGAACCAAGCAGAAGGCATGTGAGGAAGCTGAATTGCAGTCCTTATGATTTAATGATGGGTCTAAGGTCTGAAACCAGTGGGCCCCCATGTGCAAGGGCTGGGAATGTTGTGGCAATTCGTGACTTGGCCAGCATATATTAAAAAGTGCAACTCTTTCATCTACAAGAAACTGTTGGCCTTTCTCAAGTATGGCATTCCAAGTTGCCCCCACCCTAAAGGTTGTGATTGGACCCGCTATCCAACAGATATGGGTTATGAAAGGACTGAGGCTTCTGAATCGAGCAGATCCATTTGTGGAGGTCACTGTTTCATCTAGAAGGGAACATGTGTTAGCTGCTGCCGGGGAGGTTCATTTAGAAAGATGCATTAAGAATTTGAAGGAGAGATTTGCAAAGGTGAGCCTGGAAGCCTGTCCACCTCTTGTGTCTTGTAGAGAAACTATTGAGGGTGATTTATCTAATCCGTTGGAGGATTTGAAATTTTGAGTGCTAGCTCAGATTATATCAAAAAAATGACTCCAAATGGAAGATGTGTCATCTGTGTTCAAGGCATAAAACTTCCACCTACACTAACCAAGGTTCTTGATGAAAGTTCTGATTTTCTCTCAGATATTATTGGAGGTAAACCAGGGCAGACTGTTAAAAGCTTGGAATACACTGATTGAGTGTGGGTGAAGATGAGAATCCAATTGAAGTACTCAGAAAACGCATAGTTGATGCTCTGGAGAGTGATATTTCATGTCAGAATGAAAATGACCAGGATCAGGCTGAAAAGTGCAAAGGTAAATGGCTTAAGTTTCTTAGCGGATCTGGGCACTTGGTCCAAGGCAGGTTGGTTCTAACTTACTCTTCACTCCAGATTACAGAAGGGAGATAATGATGCTCTGTTCTAATAAATGGCTCCCTCATGTATCTCTGAAATTGGGCTTAGCTGATAATTCTTGTGCACGTGATATGAGTGCTGTTACATCTTAGGAAGTGACTCAACCACTCTACATAGAAGCAGAGGAGTCTTGAAAGTAGTTTTGTTGTCTGAATTTCAACTGGCTACTGCTGCTGGCCCTTATGTGGTGAACCAATGTGGGGAATAGCATTTATCATTGAAGCTTATATCTCTTTCTCAACTATGCAGCCAGGCGACTCATAACCTAACCAAACAATCTGAGCCAGCTATGGACCAATCTTTTACTGGGCAGGTTATCGACAGCAGTCAGGGCCGGTAATGCCCTGTAGAGCATCGCTGTGCCTGCAGATGGAAGCCTCGGCCCTGTTGCTAAAGCACTGTACTTTGTGAGTTGAATACCTCCAACCTGAATATTTGGCCCTTTGTATGCTGTGCTTGCTTGGAGGCGAGCCCAAGTGTTGAAGGAAGAAATGCAGGAAGGCTCTCCGCTTTTTACTGGCATGCCGATGTGCCATGTTTCTGAAAGTTTTGGTTTTGCTGAGAGCTAAGGGGATGGACATCTGGGGCTCTTAGTGCCCTTCTTGTGCTTAGCCATTGGGAAGCACTTCTGAGGATCCATTTTTTTGCCCAAAAGAAGAGGGATAGAAGAGTTAGGAGATGGTTCTAGTTCTTCCGAATACAGCAAGAAAGCTCACTGATGCTGTGAGGAGCCGGCAAGGGTCTTTCTGTAGAAGAAAAAGTACTTCAGCATGCAACAAAGCAGAGGCACTGGCTTGTAAAGGTGTTAGAAGTTATTTAGAGCCATGCTATTGATCTCCCAAGTACTTAGCTATAGAGTGATAATGATCATAAACAAATTAATTTTCAATATGATTGATATCCAATTTTGTCTTCCTTGGTTTCTCCCTAGATTCAAACGTAGCATATTCCCTTTTGAAATGGATTTTTATCCTGAACATTGATGATTTTTTGTTTATACAACCTCCAAGTTCAATGGAGAGTGCAGTTCTCCAGAATGGAAGAGCAATTCATGAAGATTGCTTACTGCACTACTAGATCTCTTACCCAAGAGGTATCTGTCTATCACTAGCTATCATTGGGTCCACATTATGCTTAGTCTCTCTCTATCTTTTGTTCCTTTTTAGTTTTTTGGTGGCGTAGGTATTTGATATTCCTAATGATGATCTGTTCCTAGGTATTAGTTTTTTTCGTTAGTAATATTTCCATGTTTAAATAAGTCAAACTGTTCCATGGCGGATGAAGTTCTTGTTTCTGTTGCTTTGAAATAGTTGCATTTTTTTGGGCACAAATATATAATCAATCTCTTATGATAGGTTTTCTTGCACTCTGTATTTAATGTTGCTATTGGAGGAAGTAACAGAAAAGGGGTTAGTATCCACAATCTATTGATTCACATTTACCATACATTCCTTCCCTATATTTGGTTTTTCGCTTCATCTCTGTACCTATGAGAATCTGATAAAGGGAGAAATAGTTTATGGTCTCTTTGCTTAAGGGATGTTACCCATAGCTTATAACCAAGTTGTCATAGTGCTTTTCATCCAAAAAATAAAAGTTGCCCTAGTGCTTAATAAGGCTTAAGTGATAGCATTGTCTCAAGGGACTAGTCTTAGTTTTGCAGAGTGTCTTTAGAGTTTAGGCTAATTTTAGTTGGAGGACAAGGATGTTAGCATCCGGGCTTGCACTTTTGACATTGAAGTTCATTCTAGTTGGTCTGAACAATTTTGGGCTGTCATTCAGGATGGCAATGGGTGTTGTTTTCTGGGGACCTGACCTGACCTGATCTGAGCCAATTTCATAGGATTTTGGTAGCAAACTCACTACTTTAGTAGTTTTAGTAATATGATAAAATAGGTGGGTTCAAGTGTTTAGAAATATTGAACATCTTCCTGATAAGGGTTGAGTATCAGGGGAATGCAGAATTTGGATGCTTCTATTCCTATTCAAATTCAGGTTTAGGTTATTCAAAATTAGCGGCTACTCTACCTGCTGCATCCCTAGTCATGTTTCATGTGAAAATTTGCTTCCTCATCATTATGCATGCCACTATGCTTTGTATGATTAGTAATATTTCTTGTTACTAAAATCGTTTTTGAAAATGTAATAGTTGGGGCTAAAATTTATTGAGCTAACAATTGTTTCAGGACTTTAAGCTTCTGGGAAAAAATTGCGGATGGCAAGATTACATGGCCCCAGCAAGCTTTGAGAGAAGATGTGTAGTTGGTTTACCCTGTAGCTTTAACATTGTCAAGTGGACTGGATTAAATGCAATGGGAATTCTACATCACCAAAGTGGATAGAAGGATTTATGGGCCCCACGCAGATGCCGGTAGCTTAATTGTGACATATGTTGGTGGTAATTACACTCTTAACCACTGGCTGCTTTCCTTGATAATGTATACAGTGTGTCTTTCTTGCTTTATCAAATTTCATTGTAGTCTTAATGTTATAATATGTTAATAGAATATAGATATAGATAATAAATTATAGATTATAGATTATCGATTTATTAAAAATATAATTATATATTATTGTATTTCCCCATAAATATCAGTTCATAGCTTTCAATTTTCCACAACGTTTACTATGTCTTTATGATCTTTTTCAAGTTTGTAAGTAATATGTCAATTAAACATTAAAACTTGATAAATTTATACCTAATCTGCATGTGTTTGCTGATGTTAGTGTGTTAGATGGCAACATTGGAGATTTTTCAAATTACTAGAAATACACATACCTACTATGTGGGTGGAAGAGAAAAAAATGTGTGAAAAAAGTGTTTTAGAAGAGAAGTTAAGTATGGGTAATAATTTTAAAGAGAAGTGGATTTTTTTTTAATATGTAATATTAAAAATTGAAAGATATGAGAACCTTTATTTTATAATTTGATTTATGATTTTAATTGATTTTTTGGGTACTTTTCTTAACTGAGTTGGCGTCACTTGACCGGTGACTCCAAATTTAGTCCAAGGATTTTGTAAGTAGTATAGATAATAAGCACATGGTATGCCAAGTGTTGTTTGTGTGTATTTTTAAAATAGGATGAAATTAACATATTAGAAAAGATTATGAGTAAAATATTATAATTAAATTAAAAATTTATGAACAAATTTTTAAGAGTAATAACTTATATGAGTGTAATTTATTTATTATTAAAAAAATATTTTGTACTTCGTGTTTTTGATTAAAAGAAAAATGTTTATATATATAAAGAGAGAAGGGATCAAGTTATATTAGTATAAAATTTGGAAGGTTTTACATTTTTTTTAACTATTGATTTCAATATATTTAAGGGTTGAGATCAAATCTTTTTTCTTTTTAATTTGTCTCTCTCATCTTTTAGATTTATTTAAATCAATTATAAAAAAATCTAAAATAAAAAAATTTTGAACTGATATAAATTGAATCCTCTAATATATTATATATATGTTCACAAAAGTTCGAATTTACTTTTTTTTAAAGAAAGACCATATATGTAACCCAAAAAAATAAATCAAGAATGGATAATAAAATTTCATGACATGGGAGTACAACAATCCTGGTCCAAACCAAAAATGTAATTCTCCAAGCATCCAAACAAATCTGAAAATACTTCCCTTCATTTACCGAAAACCCTAGTTAACATTCTTCATTTAAGTTTCTGTGCTGCAGTGCCATTCACTGAAACTCCTCACCAGGCCAACAGGCTCCTCTCAAGGAAACAATTCATGGGTTTATTTTTCTTTGATGTACTAATGAGAGTTTTAGCTTTCATTTGTTTTTTTTTTTCCCCTTGTATTGATTAATACTGTTTCGTTACTGGGAAAATGTATCGATAACTTGAAAAGAAAAAGAAAGAGTTTTGAGTAATGAGTTTTTGGTTGAAAACTGAAAATTTGCTGTCCGATTTGGTTTTGGCACAGGTCATAGATGTTTGGCATCTTGGAAGAGCTAATGTTTCAAAGGTATTTTAGTGAGTTTTTTTTTTTTTTTTAAAGTTTTAATTGTGATTATTCTGGTACTCTTTTTACTAGTTCAAGTAGGCTGAACTGAAAGAGAAACTGGCCGGGATGTATGAAGTAAAAGACCGGAATTCTACTTTTGTATTCAAGTTCCGTACACACTTTGGAGGAGGGAAGTCAACTGGGTTTGGGCTTATTTATAACTCAGTTGAGAATGAGAAGAAGTAGGAGCCTAAGTACTGCCTAATCACGGTAATCACTGCTCTTATCATGATTTATATTTCACTTTAAGTATTATCATTTAGATGAATGATTATTTGTTACTCATTTGGATTTCTTTATATCACAGTGGTATTTGATTAGTCTAGTGGAGCAATTACTTGTTCTTTTTACCTTGCCAAATAAGTGGTTTAGAACTTGAAATGATGAAGTTTACATATTAAACGTAATCGCAAAAACTGCATTTCTTTCAGAACTTTAGCGTGAAAATGCAAATATGTTTTTTTTTTTGGGATAATAGAATGGAGTTGATATCAAGGTTGAAAAGTGTAGAAAGCAGATGAAGGAGACTACATCCAACTGGTGTTACTTTGTGTGCATGCAGACCAAGGGTGGTGATGGTGGCATGAAGAAATGAGATGTGATAGATTATGTATAAGCTAGTGTTTCTTGCAGCAATATTATTAAGCTCCTAGTCATTTACCTCCATTTCTTTTACCATTATCTACTGAACTTCAAGTGAGATGCTGAGTTCCTTCGGAGATTTTGAGACAGAAATTCACTTTATGTAGAAAAACTGTTATATAGTTTATCAAAACGTGGTTCATGCGCCATTTTTTTTTGGTTTTTTTGGTCAGAGTTCATGCACCAAATTGATGTGCGCAGTATAAAGTAGATTGCTGCAAGATTTGATTTTTGTATTTTGTTTTGTTGTAGCCTTAAAAGTGTCCTTGCTCGGCAGAAGTGAGCGTTCCCAACTGCCCACGTAGATTCCAAACGCTATGTACCTAAAATAGAAAGTAAAAAGTAGTTTTTTTATATATAAAAAAAAGTCTGACACCAGTTAAATCCACAGTATTAATTCACCCAAATCCAAAACATGATTCTATTCACGCGCTTCCCTTCGCGTTTGCATTCACATCCCTCGTTAATCCTTCTTTTAACTTCCATTAATTAGGGATAAAAATTAATTAATATCGTTAATAGTTATTGATTTTCACTTATAATAAAATATTTAATATGTTGTTTAAATTATAAATATATTAATGAATATGATTAATTTTAAATAATAATACTTAAAATGAATAATTTATCAAAAATTAAATTAATTAATATTTTCATAATTCAAATATCAAATTAAAAAATTTAAAAATTTTAATTATCAAATTAAAAATTTTAAATTTAAATATCATTCAAATATTATATATAATATATATTATAAAATACAAAAGTACTTAATAAATGATATGTTTATATGAATAATTTTTTATTTTACACAAAATTATTTTAAAAAATTATTTATGTAAATATTTACATCTATAATTTTTAAATTATCAAGAATATATTTAATATAGATATATTATCTTTTTAAATTAAATAAACTTTTTAATAATCTAGAAATATATTTTTTAAATTTAAGATTTTCAAAATGTAATAATACATTATCTTTAAAAGTTCAAAAAAAATTCTAAAAAATGTAATAAATTTTTAAAATAAATAAAAATATTCCAATGACAAATTTTTTAACAATTATGAAAGGTTAATTTTTTAAGAAAATTTTATATGAGATATGTATATTTGAAATTTACTCAAAATAGAGAAAATTTTAAATAAAAATTCAAAGTGATAATTGATATTAATTTTTGAGCCAAAAATAAAATGTAATAAAAATTTAAAAATTTATTTAAAAAATGATAAAATTTTTAAAACAAATAAAAGTTATTTCAAAGATGAAATTTATAGAAATCAAGAATGATTCATATTTAAAAAAAATTTGCATAAAATTTTTTTTCTAAACTCGATTCAAAAGATGAAAAGTTTGAGAAAAATTTTAATAATGATAATATATATTTATTTCCAAGTAATAATAAATTAAAAATGAGAAATTTATAAAAATAATAAAATATTAATTTAAAACTAAAATTTCAGACCTTTTAAAAAATAATAATAAATCCAAAAATGAAATTTTTAAGAATCATTAATAAATACTAATTAATTTTTTAAAAAACTTTAAATGAAAATTATTTTTAAATTTGATTTAAATGATGAAAATGTTCATTAAATAAAAATTAATTAATCCACGCATAACGAAAACTAAACACGAGAAATTAAAAAATAAAAATAAAAAAGACCACCCGGGGTCCATCCGGGGTCAAGGTTAACGAGAGATTGCCACGGAAGCAAATAAAGTCCAAATCGTGGGCCTGATCTGACGTGCAAGATCCAATCGGTGCCGTAGATTCTGCCCCGACTCTAGAAGCGAGATTTGGAGGGAGCAAGGCTGACGAGATTAATTAATCAATCAACGAAAAGAAGTAAAATATAAAATATAAAATAAAAATAATTAATTAATTAATTTCACAACGGCTTTGGTTTTTCCGTTTGTCTATTTTATAATCCAAAGCGGATATTTTTATTCTCTCTCTTCCCCCCTTTTTCTCCCACTTATTTTCTTTGTCGGAGAATTGCCGCCAAAAAGAATCTATAGGCGAGGTATCCTTTTCACCAAATCTATTATTTCGTTTGAAAATCTGAAAGCTTGTTTTCTTTTTTTTTTTTTTTATAATTTTTATTCAATTTTGTTTTCACTTTCTTCTTCTGGGCAATTTTAGCTACCGACCTGGTGGATGAGAGAGATTTAGGTTTTCTTCTGTTGTTTTTAACGGATTTTTTTTTAATTTGGGATAATTTGAGGAAAATAATAGGAATTTAGCGTTTTTGTTTGGTTTTGATGGAAGAGCGAATGAGATCTGGTCATCATTCGGGGATTATGGTGAAGAATAGGAGCCAATCGGGATGTTTGATCGTGAAGAAGAAAGGGGATGGTTCGGGTGGGGCCGGGTCTATGGGGATCCGAAAGATTTACCAGTCCAAAGAGGGGAAGAATAGGGCTATGATTATGAGTGATTCGGGTTCTAGCAATGAGCTACTAAAGCCATCTCGAAGGAGGGTTGGCCCCGAAATAATTCAAGTTTGTAATGGTTTATCTGTTTGTGAAGAAAGTGAAATTGGTAGGAAGAGGAATAGGGAGGAGAGAATAAGGTGGAGTCAAGAAGGTTTCATTGGTAGTAATGGGGAGGGTTTGAGTGAGAGTAAGAGGAATACGTTAGATGCGTTTGACTTTATTGAGTATGATGGACTTGACGAGGAGATGACTATGAGGAGGAATCGATTTGATTATGGTGGAGAAGAGGATGGTGGGAAGAGACTGTTGGGTTCAATGCCTGCAGTTGCTCGGAGGAGTATTGAGAGAGAATATGAGAGTGGTCCAAGCAGGCATGTTTTTCTTGACAAGAAGAAGAAAAATTTGTACTTTGATAAGAGTGAGGGGATGAGCCGGGGTGATCATGATGATAGAAACGGGTTTAGGAATGACAGGGATGGCGGCCGCCTGCATTACTCCTTGTTGAGGGAGAGGTATATGGCTGGTTTGGATGAACCCATCAGGGTTCAGGGGAAAAATGGTGTTTTGAAGGTAATGGTGAACAAGAAAAAGGTGGGTGAACGTTTCAAAAAATTTGATCCCTTGGAAGTTGAGGAGGCCCGGAGTGGTTCAAGGATTGATGATCCAGTTAGGAGGAACTCGCATGTGCATCCATCCTTGTACTCTGAGACGGAAGTTCTTGAGAAGCCTGTTCCACTTGGTAGGAAAGAGAAAAGGAAAATGAATTTACTAAAGACACCAACAACTAAGAAGAATAAGGTCTTTGGCTGGGATTCAGAAGATAGTGATACATCTCTGAAGCTTTGGTCAAAGGACATGGAAGCTTCTAACTCAACGAAGAGGGTTAATAGCAAAGAGGAAAAAACTCTAGCTGAGCAACTTCTGCCTACCAGAATCAAAGAAGGAAAAGTTAGGCGTGGATGTGGCACAGAAAAACAGAAATTACGTGAGCGAATAAGGGGATGCTTCAGGAAGCAGGCTGGACAATAGATATAGACCAAGGAGGAACAGAGACTACTTGGATGCAGTGTACATCAACCCTGCTGGAACTGCTTACTGGTCCATCATCAAGGCATATGATGCACTTCTAAAGCAGCTAGATGATCAAGATGAGGGCAAGCCTGGCGGGATGGTGCTGCATTTACCCCATTATCAGATAACTAGTCAGCCAATTAACAAGGAAAACACAAAAGAAGATGGAAAGGGAGATGAAAAAGAAGCGAAGAGGTGACAGTAAGAATGTACAAGAAGCTGTTACTCGGAAATCTTCAAGGACCAGGCATGAAAATGGGAGTATGGATAGCTTGAGTCATGAAGTGAAACTAAGTTCAGTAAGCAGGGCTAGTCATTCAAATGTAGGATGAATGACAATGTTGCCTTCAGTGCAAATGCAAAAAATCAAAGTTCTTTCCATGTGCATGATAGCTATGAAAAACCATCCTCTATCCCTCTATATCCAATTCTCATCTTGTTCGTGGAAGAAAAAGCAGAAAACTTGGCAGACGCACTTTTTTGGTTTGGGGTTCCAATGCGAGTCTGAGTTCAGAGGGTGATGACTCTGTTCCCTATTCTGTGAAAAGAAAGGTACTTTCCTGGCTGATTGTTTCTGGAGCAGTATACTTGAGTCAAAAGGTGCTGCATATGAACTGTAGGCAAACGAAAATGATGCTAGAGGGCTGGATGACAAGGGATGAAATTCATTGTGGTTGTTGTAAAATCCTCAGTTTCAAAATTTGAGATTCATGCTGGAAGCGAATTGCGTCAGCCATTCCACAATATATATATATATATATATATATATATATATATATAGTTGGACTCTTGTGTTTCTCTCCTTCAGTGCCAACTAGATGCATAGAACAGACAAGAGGAATCTGAGCACATTGGTTGCCATTCTGTAGAGGTTGATGGTCAAGAGGACTCTGGCATTTGCCTAGATGCTGGCTTGGGTGCTGGATTGTTGTGATTCTTCATAGTTGGGAATTTGAATGACTAAATGGCATAGTTTATTTACAAAATGAAGGGCAGGTGGTAACAGATATTTGTTTCTCTATCTTGTGCTTCAATTCAATAGTGTTTGGAGTGGTACACAAGTACATCTGTTTATTAAGCCATCCAACATCAAATATGTATTCGAGATAGTATTGGTGGTATACGTGCTGTATTATAGCCGTTCTTTTTTCTGTTGATGGTCTCCATTTGTCCTGTATGGTTGCTTGTTCATATTTGTTATGCTGTTTTAATGATTGTTTTAATATTAGATTTCCCTTCTTTTTCAATAAAATATTATAATTTATTTTTGGATTAGCATCAGTTGTTCATGAGTCTCTGACTATTTGCAGTTTCACCTGTCATAGTTGTAGAGTATGAGCATGTGCACAGTTGATTTTGGAAAACAAGGGAGTAAAAGATCCCTTTCAAGTTTTTTTCATCACGATTTTGTAGGTTGCTGTCAAATTGCGTTTTTCTGCAAATTATAATGACCTTTTCTTTTATTGGAGCATGCTATAATTATCTTAGATTATTGTAGGCTTTTATCTGGATATAATTCCTGGTAGAGGTCAGTCCCATTGGCTTGGTTGTTAGTAGTTTATGGCCAATATTTTCTGCTGCTTGGTACTAATATATTCTGGATTGTAACTTCTTTCTCACCCATATGACATGGCTGGCTTGTCCTGATAATGGTAATTTATTATTGTTATTGTTTTGGTAGTCGGTACAAGTTACTTAAATTATAAGTAAAACTGAAGTTGAAGGCCTAATGTTTCCTTCTTGAATGGCTGATAAGTGTAAGTAAAGGTAATGAAAGTAGTCTGTTACTCTATTCTTCTTGCCTTTAACTTGCATGCATCAGTTTTCCTTTTTTTTTTTTTTTTTTTTTGACTTGACTACTTTGTGGAAGAGTTGGCCTTTAGGTGCTTATCTTTTGTTTGAGTTTGGCGGTAAGCCCATCTGAATTTTAGTGTTATTTGTTTTTTCTGCTTAGTATGCATGTCCACATGCAGGATTTTTCTTTTTGTTTGTATTGCTAATAGACTTGTACATGCAAAGCTTTATTATTCTCTTATTATGAAGTATAAAGTGAAAGTCTTGCCTACAAAGAGTGCATACATGGTTCATATCAGAGGAACCATTTATTCACCTCATAGGCTTGTTTTTCTTCTATACTCTTCTCCTGCATGAAAGAGAAACTTTTCATGGTCTTGATTCAACTGTTGCAAAGTCTGTAGTTTAATGTCTGCATTGATGTTAAGATCTGACATCCAGTTATAGCTGTGTAAAGACTATTTATGATTGCTTGCCTGTCAATGATATTTTATTGCGGTTCTTGTTAAAGCTAGCTATGGCTTTTGAATCCTGCATTTATACCCTTATTTCCAATGTTTAGAAAGAACCTGTGGAATGCTATGATATGGAATAGGTTTCATTATAATCCAGTGTCCAAATTTGATCTTAGTGTAAGTTCTTATTTGATGCTTGCAGTCACTTGATGACAATCTGCAATATATTGGCTCTATTCCATGCACAATATTACTTTCTGCCCTTTCCATGTGTTCAAATTATTTTCAAACTGGTGAATATCTTATGCTCAATCTTATATTGATGTCTGAGAGGTAAACCTGAATTGTTATTCTTCAATGCGCTTGATATGCGAAGTTAGAGAGGTCCTCTAAAGACTTACCTGATATGCATGGCCCGAACACATTCTCAGATAATGCTTACTTGCGTGTGGATTAACTGGATGGAACTACTCAAGGCCTCCTCATAATTCAAATACCTATCTATAGGTTCTTTCCTGCAGATGATTTGCAGCCACAACACCAAGAGGATTTGATTATGTTGGTGATATATTTTATTTATTTTAGTAACGAGTCTCAATAGTCTTAGTTAATCACAAAATTCAAGGATTGACCTGAGTTTGATGAAGTTTGTTTGAGAGCATTTTTATCATGTCAACTCAAATTTATATTTTTTCTTGGATTTTTTTTCTAAATATCAGGTTTTGAGAAAACTTGAATAAATAAGTGATTTTAATCAATTTTGACAAATTTGACTTGAGCTCACATAAGAGGTATTTTGGCTAAAACATTCATATTTGTTCAAAACTCATGATTCATTTTGAAATCGATATAGATCCAATTACTTGGTTCAATTATTTAAAAAATATTCAGTTTTGATCAAATTTGATGAAGTTCGTCAAATTTGACTAAGTCAATTTTTAGGATAATTTTTAATTATTTTTTTTTCAATCTAAGAATCAATTTATTTAAAAATCATAAATTTTCTATAAGGTTTGAAAATTTTGAAAATAACCCAAGTCTCAATTTTTAAAATATTACAATTGAATAAAACATACCCAAGTAAAATTACGTGTCTCCATGTATTCTTCGTTATTATTATTGGTGTTTTGCATGGTGGTTAGTGATTTTGTGGTAGGAAATCCTTTTCGTCATATTGGTTCCCCCTCCTCTTTCCATATCAGTTTTGAAATATGTTTTCATCCTACATGATCTGGTTATATTTGTCATTAGTCAAATTTCTTGTTAGATTAGTCCAATACATTTTGTTATAATACGTGATTTCGAGGATACTGCACAACTTGTTATCTAATTAATAAATGATTTTTTTCCTACTCCCCCCCCCCCTTTTTTTTTTTTTCTCCTTTCTTATGTATTGCCACTAGCCTCCTTGCTGCCAATCCTAATTCCAGCCCCATAATGATCCATTTAAAGACCAGATCTTCTTTTAGTAACCCTTGGATCAAATTCATCTAAAGTTTGTAGTGATTTTGTCTTTTTCTCATAAGTTTAGTGATTAAAGATGCAATCTCGGCCCTAGGATCTAAGTCTTTTAAGATCAATAGTTAAAAAATATAGCACTCATCTTGGTAGCTAGTGCAACTATTCAATGTAAAAGATAATTTTGTCCCCTTTTTTTTATTTTTCTTAAATCTTATAATCTAATGATATTTATGATTTTAACATATCAAAATTCATAAAAAATATTTAATTATGATATAAAGTTTTTTACAAAAAATCGATTTTAAAAAAATTAAATTAAAAAAAATACTTTTAAAGGGTATTTTATAATTTCACTCTCTTTAAGTTTCAACAAAACTTTTAAAAGTCCAAATTATAATTTTTTCCTAATGAGCCTCAATAGTTTTAGTTAATCACAAAATTCAATAGTTTTAGTAAAATAAATTTTTTTATATTTTCACTCTATTTTTTTTAATAATTCACAAATTATAAGAAGAATTATGTTATTTCATATTTTTTATTGAATTCAATTGTTTTATATTATAATTAACAAAAATATCTTTTTATTTTATTTTTTCACGTAAAAACTTATAATTTAATTAAAAAAAGTTGATTAAAAATGCAAATTTAAAGCATACCTAAATTTTAAACTGAATTTAAAATTTTGCCTATATCAATTCAATGGCCTTTAAATTTTTGTTTAAATCATCCTCTATTTTTGGTGAATTTGTGGGTTTAGACGGATAGCATGATGGTATAACTTTGGACCCTTCAAATTATACCCAATAAAAAAAAGTAATTTTGGTCCTTGCAAATTTTATTTAGGTCATTTTGATTTTTTTTTTGGATCAATTTGAGTATATTTATACAAAAAGAATTTATGTGATCAACGTGTTGAAGAATTGTGTCATGTGATATGGTATTAGGCAAAACAAGCACACGTTCAATTCGGTGAGATTTCTTAGGAAAAGGCACACGTCGCATTTTTTTAGGAAAAATTTATGAAATTTTTTATTAAAAACGATTAAATAAAAATTAAGATTGAAAACCAAAATTAATAAGTTAAAATATTTTATTATATAAATCAAGTGTGTAAAATTTTAAAAATTTTATCAATTTATAACTTTGAATTTTTTATTAAAAATTTTATTAAATTTTTTTTAAATTTTTTTTTTTTATAAATTTCATTAATAACTTATATAAGATTTGTCCGACCTTTTGACTGGTTTTCTTGCTATATTTGATGCGGGGCCTTCTCAAGTTAAAAGAGTTTTTTTGTTTGGCCAATAAATTAGAAGCATCAATTGGGTACCGCATTTAGGCCCAGGATCGATGATCAGTCGTTGGTGTCCTAATTTAACCCAATTCATAGAAAGTGACCTGCCCTTCTAACAAAAGTGGACCCTTCAGTTTCCACATCGTCTAAGGCACAAACATATTATCGTCATCCTTTGGTTCAGGGACCGCCTTCAACACTTTGCAACTTTGTGAGCGCTGTGCCCCGGATGACAAAATTCTGGACGTATGCGTGGCACTCGACATCACACCACTCGAGCTCCCACCTCGAACGGTAATTGAAAGAGTGAGTGCTGCCTGAATTGAAAGATCCTTCTAGACTAGCCAGCGTACCCTTCTGCCTACTAGTTTCCTTTACTAACTGAAACTGAAGTCTCAGCTGACTTGATTGAAGGAGTGAGAACCATGGAGTGGGATAGAACTAGATTAACTGGTAAAACTCTCAAATGCCATAGAGCCTTTTGCACTTGACCTACTTAGGTTTTATCATGCCATGCTTCCAACTTCTATAATTAAAGCAACTTTCTTCCCTAGCTATATTGCCTTCCTTTGTGCCAACTTATATGCTAACATGCCAACTTCAATGGAGGAGACTTGCCTTAGTGCAATTTTAGGGGATGGAATTAAATATGTTGGCTTTTGCTCTTTGCTTTTGTGATGAATTTTTTATGTTTCTGAAATTTTTAACATTGAAGAATCCCAATTCGGAGGGTCATGTCATCATCAACTGAAGGTGTGAAATTGGCTACTTGTAGTAATTTAACGATCTCAAAAAACAAAGTCATTTACTGGATTTTCAAGAGGCCGCCTCTTTACTAGTAATGTTTAGGGCAAACCAGATTTGATTTCATCAATAACCAGCTTATCGCTCTTTGCCTCTCGATTTCTTGTCTCCAAATTAATTATCCGAAGTAGAAATTACATTCATAATTCACATTTATTTAGCTTAAATTTAAGTAAACAAGAAGAGTACAAGTCTTTCTATTCCACACTGACATAAACTATAACAACACTGCACTAGAAAAACAGTAGGTACTATCAATCCTCCACCACTTAAACAACAAGCTGATCTAGTGTTCCATCCGTCCTTAGGTCCCTATACAATCCAATAACAGATGAGGATTAGGATTAAGAAATTAATTATACAGAAAAGATAAAAGACTTAGGCTGATAGAAGAATAGGGTTTGGTTTTCTGTGTGGCTGGATTCGCGTCAACTGTGTTTGTGGTTGTTGGAGTGGATTGTGGGTTGACTTGCAATAGTTCCGTCGTCGTTAATTAAAAATAAAAGATTTGATATATTATTGAGGAAAGGAAACACAACAGAAGCAGATCAATGGCCTTTGTCTTCCCCAGCCTGGTCCAAAACATGAAGCAAACCGTAAAGGTAATCTTGGACCATAGCATTCAACTCTGCCCCCAGAATGTTGACTTGTCGAATTTGGTGAGCTGTGATTTGCAGGCCTTCAAGATTTGCGTTGGTGTTCCCTTCAGGTTTAAGAAGACCGTCCATGACCTCTGTCAGCTCTGTTTGCACGGTCGTCACCCCAGCTACCAACCCTCCCAACAATTTTACTCCTTCCATCTCCTTCTTCTTTAATCGGGAAAACAAAATCAAAAGCAAAGCGTCGCGAGATCTTTCAGAAAAAGAAAAATCTAAAGAAAAGTATAAAAATAATTAAGCATGAGGATTTGCAAAGAAACTACCAGATCAAGCTTCCTTGGACTCAGCCTCTGGTGTTTCTTTCCGATAACCTTCCGTTCAACTTGTTTTTTTCCGGTCATGATTTCTCCTGGATTATTGAAGGAAGCCAGTGTATTCTTTTAGCCAAATCCAAAATGACATGGGGTAGTATATAAATGTGCGATTGCGATTGTTGTAGTGCGATTTTAGGAGGTCCCATCGGGTAATCGTACGATTTCTGTACGATTGTGTGTTGAGTTTTCTTGTCTTGCTTTCCTTCTTCTCCAAGTATCTTAAACCATTACATAAAATTTATTGTAGACCTAGAGGCTTTATAATAATTTAGCTCTTGTTCTTTAGTTTTAAAAATGAACATTATGCCCCAAAAGCAAAAATGATGTTAATATATATGAGTCAATTAATAATTACTCTTAGTATAAAAAAAAAAAAAAACCTACTCTTACAAAGTTAACTTGTAGGATTGTGATTTTTGTTTTGGTACAAAAAAATTTAGAAGTAAATAAATTGTCTAGTCTTTTTATGTTAAAACAATATGTATCATACCTAACAGCTTAAGACAGGTAATTATAAATTATACATTCGAGATGATTTCAATAAGTGATCATTAATAAGACTCAAACTCAAACTTTTTTGTAAAAAATAACGAGTCTTAATCAATTGAACCAATCATTTATTGATAATTGTGGTTTATTTTCTTATAAATCTTCACTTGACCCTATAATAGTTTTGAAATTATCATTTATTTCATTAATTTTTCTTTTAATTTTTAATTAATCCTATTATTTTATTTTAAAATTTTTTAATTTTATAATTAAGCTTTCTAAACAAATTCTTGGATACTTTTTTTATGCCTTCAATATATATTAAAACTCTTAAAAATATTTTTTAAATAATTAACTTGATTTCGTTCACTTTATATAAACATAATTTTATCAAATGCAATTTTGAAAATTAGATAAATTTCAATAGGCTACAATAACCAAAAAAAAAAACATGAATTTTACCAATTTACTTAGATAAAATCTTTTATTTTTATTTTACTAAAATTTGCAACAAAATAAACACTTAACATAAATTAATATTTTGTTTAAAGTAGTGACTTATTTGAATACAAAATAAAAGATAAAAAATTATTTGAATATAATAAAATATAAAATTTTATTCAAAAAATAAAATAGTTTGAATTTTTTTTAATATTTTAACCAATCAATAGTACAATTTTTTTACTTTTTACTTCTCCTGATTTAAAAAATTTTCCTTCATATATGGAATTAACCACACCTCTTAAAACCCTCTCTCTCTTTTTCTCTGTGTCCCCGACAAAGTAATTAAGAACCAAAAGGAAAAATGCCAAACCAAACCTAGCCTTAAACAACTAATTTGGTTTCCAATGATCTTCAAAATAATTAGTAAAAAATTCCTAACCTTCTAAAACTTTTGTTTCTTGTTCTTTGATCCGTACTGATCACCAATATCATGATCATGGATTAAAATTGCAATAGTGTAAGGAATAGTATTCGCAATTTTACAATAGTGCCATTGCTCACCATTGCTATCAAGAAAAAATTAAACTTGAAATTAAAACACAGCCAAAATGGTACATTGCGGTCGTCAGAAAGCTAATTAACAGGGAATAATGGAGATAATAGTTCGTTATTGATGCTATCCCCATTTTTTGTCACCAATTCTTAATCTAAAAAAAAAAAAAGCAATCCAAAATTGAAAAGTGTTTTGAAAACCCAAAAAACAATCTTCAAAAGGCAAAGAATAAGAATATAAGTCTAAAACTCCGAATGACAAAAAGACAGACTCTTAATAGGTCAAGCTCAAAGTCTTAAATCTTAATCTCAAATTTAAATTGTATGAATTGGCAACCTTAGAGGTCCAATCCCAATTCATCAATTCACAAAATATCCGAATTCAAGTCAACCTCAACCAAGAATCAAGTTTAAAGAACAAGTAATTAAGGTAAAGGTAAGCTAAATTATCTTTTTTTTTTTTTTTTTATCTCAAATTGCTGTGGAAACTTGAATCTACCAATTTGGATATTTGGCAACAATCTTTTACTTCTCAAGTGACAGTTAGTGAAGTTAAGATCTTTACCTACACATTACCTTTAATCTTGACTTGATCCCTGTAACTCAAAACTTAAATTCTCAATTGTTTAAATATAAGATCTTATCCTTTCATCTTTGGTAATTGTGAGCAATCCAATATTCTTTTCTATAATTTTTGTGGAGATGATACTAAAATACTTCACTTTATTACTTGATTTGTGCACTTATAGGTTCTATATAAAAAGTAACAATCATAATAAACCAAGGGCTTTCGACCAAAAACCAGATAGAAGAAAAAGAAAAAAATAATAAATAAAACAAAAATAAAAAAATAAAAACAAAAAAAAAGAAATAAAAACAAAAAAAAAACAATTCAGCTATCCTATGGATTATGGGCCAAAACTTTAGGCCTTAGGTTCAAGAAATTGAATTTAGGCCATGGTCCAATGGACATACAAAATATCCCATTTAACAAAAACAAAATTGGGCTTCAGCCCACACATTTGAATCAAATTTTGATTTGCATAATTAAACCTCACAAAGCCTAATGAATTTAAAGTCCAATAAGAATCAAGGCCTATTTCAGATAATTCAAATAAAATTAAGTGTTTGCAGCTTGTAAATACTATTTGTTGTATGAGCTCAATTCAATCTATCATGGGCTGAAAATGATAGAGAAATAGAGTTTAGAAGTGCAATAAATTAGTCTCAAGGGTCAAACTCACAGTCAAAGAGGTTTCTCTTCAGTGCAAAGTGCCAACGCCATTTCATCCCCTTTCAAACACCATTGTCTTTAATATAGCATGTTTTGTTGATTGCTAAAGCATATATTTTACCAAAAGAATTCTTCAAAATTTGGTTATTGATCCTTTGCCAAACTAGAATTTTATCCTTGCTCTATACATGCACAGAGAAGAAAACTAGAAATAATAAGTGTGATAACGGTTTTGGAAACTATTAGATGAAAATTTTATGAATTTCAAAATAGGAGAGTCACTACTAATCTTTTTTTGTTAAGTGTGATTGACCATCTAAAAAGTTTATATTTTTAATAATATAATAAAAGAAGTTTCAAATTTATATAAAAAAAAAAAACAAATTTGGTCTAGGAAAACAAAGTTGTGTTTAGGAGGACAATAACATATTGGAAAGGATTAGCACTCTTATAGTACTCGTTTTAAAAATAGTACCAATTGATCATATGTTATCTTTTATATTGATAAATATGGTCTTAATTTCAATATTTAAAATAATTCCTTCAAATTTTATTTCCTTACAAAAAAATGTTTTTTTTTTCTTTTTTTTAAACCTTTATTTATAAATAGAATGAAAAATTTTAATATCAAAACATTTTTTAATTCTCTAATATCTAGATATAATTTTAAAAAATATTCCTTTACTTAGGATTTTAATAATATTCCACGAAAGTTGAACATAATATTTCTTTATAAAGAATAATTATTGATAAACCCTCTAATATCTAAGCAATATATCATCTTAAATCAAGAAAAAGTTAGGGTTGTGGTCAATTTAACTCTCAAAATGAAGATAAAAAATTTGATCCTCCTCGTCATTCTACCATTTAGTAAAATTTAAAGTATATATCAATAATTGTAATTGATGAAATTTAAAATAATTATATTTTTAAGTTTGAAATATTATTAAATATAGATGCTTGGCATTTAGCACATTCTGTTTTATTAATATTTGATTTATCTGGAGTCAATATTGAATATGAATTTAATTCAAGTAAAGATTTACTGCTAAATCAAATATGAATGCTTTGTTATAATCTAAAAAAATTATGAATAATTTTTTTAAGAAAATAAAAAACATAAAAATGTCATAAACTATTTTTAAAAATCATAAAATAAAAATTTTTACAATTATAATTATAATTATTATATTTTATAACAAATTGTATAAAACTAAAAAAAAATTACTACCGTAATAACTGCAATGACTTCGATGGTCTTCATTATATCCAAGTATGCAATAAATAACCGAAATGCGACCATGATTACAATTTAAATCCCTCATTCACGGTGGAACCGCCAAATTGAGAAAGAAAGCTTCTCATTGTAGACCACCCAAATGATGTCATTGGCTGCACAAAATGGACCATAGAAGCAAAGCATTGGAGCTGTAGGATCATAACCAGGGGTGAAAGTGAATTGAGTGTTATGCTGCTAGTACTAGACTCTCCATCCACTCGAGTGAAATTCGAACCATTTGAAGACAGCACTATCATCGAATTATCGATAAGATTTAGATTGAAAGGCTGCATTTGAAAAGCCTTGCTGGAGCCAAAAAGGTAATAAGAAGGCACATTCAGGTCAAACGGTTTTAATCCTGAGATAGGTTGTTGCCGGTTTGTGACTTGTAAGTCCAAATTCTTTTGAAACTAGTCAATATCCCTTATTAGGGATCTTTAATCGAACAATGATGCTTTCCCTTTATGATCATCTTGATCTTCTTCTTTGCAGCTTTCATATTTAAGTCGAATTTAGCAAGAAGTGCCCAAATTTAATTGATCGAAAAGTTTTTGATACCATCATCCCTAGTAGGAAATGTGGCATCTATGTTAGCTTTGCCGAATTACAAATCTCATCATCAAGCTTCTTTTGACGTGTTGAAAAATAAAAAAATCAAACATGTTAAAACATTTCCTTTCACGAGCCTTTTGAAAGGCCAAATCTCAAGTTTAGCACAGTTTTTTAATTTGAGCTCGTAAATAATTACACACATGCATATCTTAGCATTGTAAAAAAGTGACAATTTATGAGGTTTTTTGTATCAAACTCTTTTCCCATTTTTGATAGGCCATGACACTAAACTTCTCTTTCGTTATGAATTTATGTTCAATTTCTGCAACCCCTTTTCTAGGTCTTTAAATTAAAATAAAAAAAAGCAATTAACATAAAATATTTATAAATTGTTGACAAACAATATCTTTAATATCCTATGTCACAGAACAAAATCTTTAACCCGAAATAGTAAACATTGGACAAATTAGTGGCGACATTGTAAGTGAAACTGAAGGTGATTTACACCAACCAAAACATCAAAAAGTTCATTCAATACCATTTTTTTTTAAGTTCACAAAGTAACTATAAAAATCATAGGAAGAACGGAAACAAACTTTAATTAAAATTAATTTGGTATTCATTCATTTATTCTGATTAATTATGGGAACAAAATCAAAGACTCTGATTTTTTTTATTCATAAAATTACAGATATTTATTTGTCCTAGTTACCATAAGTAGAACCATGCATTTTGGTGATACCAAATCTTACATGTTCTTACTCTTTTTAGAGAAAAAATTTTGTTAAATTCGGCAAGCAATGAACAATTAATTTTCAAGTTGAATCATTTAGCAAGTCATCAACCTTAAACATGTTAAAGTACAGTTTTTACGCTTGATTTTCAAGTTTAATTTTTCAACCTCGAACCCCACCTTATTACAGAAAAAGTGAAAACAAAAAGGAAAGGAAAGAAAGAGCGCCTGAGAGTGATCACGTGGTTAAATTTCGACCATTGCCAGGCCAAAATATGCTGTGCGCCAGAAGTTGCAAAAAGCTTGATAAAACGTTGGATTTGACCTGAAAATGATTGGATCCATCTATGGTTTCAAAATGGATTCCAACACCAAAGGCTAAAAATATGCAAAAAATATTGGACAGCCGCCTCCTCCTTGTTGGATATGGTCTGATCACGTTTTCGGCCTTATTGATTGGTCAGAATTGCCTACCAGAATCTTTAATTGTCTAAAATGTCCAGTAAACATACATATTAAAATTGAACACTTTTTCACATAGAAGACGTAAGCAAAAGTACAATAAACGTCACTCTTAGTTTTTAAGGATAACATATAAATATTCCCAGCCTCTTGTGCCTATCGTTAACTTTCACAATAATTTAATAACATTATTTATTTATTTATTTTTGTCAAATTTCATTAAATAGATAATAAAATTTATGAACGTTCATTGGACATTGGAAATGACGTTCTATTATATATTTAATGATATATTTAATGATATCTTTAATGATATTAATACAAATGAATGAATTTAAAATACTTTTTAAAAAATAATCAAATATTATTAAATTTAATAATTCAAAATAAAATATGACAATACCATTAAAACATAAAAATAATATAATTTTAAAATTTAATAAAAATTATATATTATTTAATATAAATTAAAAAATATATTTTATATTTTTATAATATAAAATTTTATATATAATTTATCAATAATTTACATCCATAATTTGACATATATATAAACAAATGAATTATCTTTTTATTAATTATATTAAGAGAATAAAATTTTAATATAAATAATAAAAAAATTAATTTAAAATTATATTTTTGATGTTTTTTCAAATAATTTTAACCATTAAATTAATGGCTTAGGGACAAGAAAATGAATTATCACCTTTAAATAATGTACTAAATTTACGGCGCATTCTGCTCGTTTATTTGTAAGGTGTAAGGATAAGACTGAATGACCACCACATGTCCACTAGCGCATGGTTGGATATTCGAAAAAGAAAGACCATAAAAAAAAATTAAATATTTAAAGCTTTGAGCAATCATGTGTGGTCTTCGTTAATGTCGTCCCTTGTTGACTTAAAGCACTTTCCTACAACGCCGTCAACAAGCAAAAATTGGTAGTATGCATTGGGGCTTATAATTTCATAAATGGAGATTTTTGGTAAACAAACAAATTTCTTAGGAACAAGAACTGATGATGAGATGAGGCTACAAACAACAATGGGCAGATGCATGAGTGCTGTAAGTATATGTGAATAATTGTTTCTCTCTCTCTCTCTCTCTCTCTCTCTCTCTTGTTCATATCTCATAAATTGCATTAGCTTAATATTTCCAGCTAGCTGCAAAAATAAAGTCATCTGATATCTGCTTTATAATTCTTTTTTTTTCTTTGTTTTTTTCATGTGGAAATCAGTAGTGTTTTCTTCTACTATGCTTAGAGGAATGAGAAGGGAAGGGAAGGAAAATAGTAATAGAAAAGTAAAAAAGAATGTTCTGATACATTCCTTCATTAATTTCTTGGTCTGCTACTTATACCAATTACTAAGCACTGCTCTCAAAGTTTTAAAACAAGAAATGCATGTATAATTGTTTGTTTTTAGTCGATTGTTATTTTGGTATATTCTTTTCAACCTTGTTCTTATTTTCTCACACTGCAACTTCTTGAAGTGATTTCACTCATAAAAACTACTTAAAATTCAATACACATATGGATATGTATATGTTTTATGTATATGTATGTATTTGAAAGAGTATAGTAGATGTTTCCAAACGTTGGGTTTGACCTACTCTAGTTAACAGTTAAAACTTACGCCCAACCCGAGCATGACTCGCCTTGATATTATATTTATTATTAAAATATTAAAAATATTTTATATTAATATTTTAAGAATTTTAAATATTTTTATAATTAAATTTAAATAAAAGTATTATTATTAAAAAAGAATATTTTCAAACCAAGTACAAGGTTTAAAATTCACATCAAAGGCTACATCAGATTCAGGTCGGGGAGCAATGATAAGTAGCTTACCTATTGACTTTCAAAATTTCTAAACTACTAAGGTATTTCAGAATCTATCACTAAATAAAGGTCTAATGTATCCATAAATTTGAAAATAATAAAAAAAATCAAGTTTTTACCAGTCCATCATACATGTATATATTAAATTTGAAATTTAAATCCCTTCTTTCAATTTCAACTTTCAAAACATTAGTCTAATATTTTTAATTTTATGCATGTTTATATTAAGCTATTATTATATTTGAATTTCAAAATTAAAAATAATTAAACAAGAATATTATAAAAAAGTTGAAAATCTAAATATAATTTTTTAATAATTAAAAATGAAGTGAAATCTTCTATTCAAAAGAGTTAAGTTTTTATTGATTGTAAAATTTCTCAATATATTTGCATATCTAATTCTGAGAACTATTAGTTATAAAATTAAATTAGATTTGGTTAGTTATACATACGACATTTGTACTTTGATTGTAGGATCTAAGTTCTAAAACTAAAATAATTTCAGGTGGTTTGTATCTTGACGTGGGATAGATCTAGAGGCTCTGGTGCATTCTCTATGCCCAAAGTTTTCTATTACTTGGTTTGTTTATTGAATTTCGTATCTGGAAATGTGGAGATTTTTTTTTATTTGTTTGGTTGTGAAATCTTGTTCTTAGGTTTTTTTTTATTTGTTTGGTCGTGAAATCCTGTTCTTAGGTTGGTTGCCTGACAAATTTGGATTGGATTTTTTAGCTTTTCATTTTTTTCCCCTAAAGAAAGAGAAAAGCTTCTACTAAGGATCTATTTTTTTACTCCAATGAAATTGAAAATAGTAATAATAATGAGATTAGTTATTAAGACGATAAGATTAGATATTATGTTGATGAGATTAAAATCAATAATAAAATATATGTTTAGATATAAATCCATCAATGACATTGCCGTGAATTATATTGAAATGAGAAAATTGCAATTAAAGGTATTATATTAAAGTTTGTTTAAATTATTTGACATTTATAAAATTAATAAATTATTAAAAATTATTAAAATATTTATGTCAAATAATATATTTTTAAAAAACTTAATAATAATATATTTACTCAAATTATAACTTAACAAATAATATTAAATATGTAAAATATAAAATAATTTAAATATAAAGATAAAATAAAAATAGAAAAAATAGAAAAAAAATCAGTAATGGGTATTATGGTAAAGGATTCAATGCGGTGGCTCACTTAATCCTAACAATTTAAAAGAAAAGAGAAAATTGTTTGTCTAACTACAGAGTAATAATAGTAATAATAGAAAAAAAGGCTGCTTGGTCGAATGTATAGAAGAGATAAAAGAAGGATATGTATAGAATCTTTCAAGGTCAGTTAGCTAGGGAGGGGTGATCCAATTTTACTGGTAAATTAGAGGTCAATTTGTAGGTGAGATGGTGGAAGATAAGGAATTAAGGAAGAATATGTTTTCCATCAATAGCATAAATCTTTTCATGATATTTGGATTTTGTTGTTGATCTTGTCATTAAACTGTTCATATCTTTAAAAAAAAAAAAAACAATCCTATAGAAAAACAAAGATCTCGTCTGAAAAATTCAAAGCTAAAAAAGTGCCACTTTCTAGAATTAAGGTCTGTCTAAGAGTCTATTGCTTTCTCCACTAGATAAATCTATCATCAAGATTATATATTGTAAATGGAAAGGAGGTTCTTGGGAAAGTTAATATTAATGAAGCTCAAAAGCACTATAAACTAAAATGATAAGATATACCTGATGATGGATCTGTTGTTCTAGACTTTGGTGGTAATGAAGAAACAAGAATGTTATAATCTAATAGTTAGGGTATACTGATTCCTTTTTAATGTTTTAGGCTGTTCATTAGATAAAAACGCAGTTTTCCTCCCAAGTACCATAATATTTGTCCCAATGGAGTATATAACCAAAAAAAAAAAAAAAGAAAAGAAAGGAAAAGAAAAATTGTGCACACCAAAAAACTTTATAACCCAAATAGTCATCTAGGATTTGTTCAAGAAATTAATGCTAAGATATTGGATTTTTCACATACAATTATTTGAAAGAATATGCTGTATGATACTTCTTACATTAATACTTTACTATTACTCGAGTGGTTAGGGTATATGATCTAATGGGTGATATATATAGTATGAGAGATTGTATAAAATCGGGGAATGTTGAGGACATTTTCTTCTGCTACAATTTCTGGCTAAAGGGTGGTATGATGAAGATCTTAGGAAATACTATATGTTGAACTCCTTAATCAATCAACAATTGTAGAAGTGATGTGTGATTGCTTAATTTGCTTTAGTTCATTTTTCAAAATAATTTCTTATACTTCGAAAACCAATACAGTTCAAAATACTATATAATATAATTTATCCAAATTAGCAATTACAAGCAAGGATAAATTGATCATCACCCAAAGTACGTGGAAGCAAATTAAGCTATGCAGATGAAATAAAAAGTGCAGAGAGATTTTTCTTTCAATTCCCAAAACACACCAATTCAGTTCTTGATAGATAGAAAGGTAGGTAGGTAGATTCATGCATACATATAGAAACAGTAAGCAATCCAAGATGAAACACACCAATTCAGTTCTTGATAGATAGATAGGTAGGTAGGTAGGTAGATTCATGCATACATATAGAAACAGTAAGCAATCCAAGATAAAACACACCAATTCAGTTCTTGATAGATAGATAGATAAGTAGATTCATGCATACATAAAGAAACAGTAGGCAATCCAAGATGCTTGCTCTTCTCTTCTCTTTATTCAACCGAAGCAGCTCGGTAGATAAGATCCCTTGCAAATTATTAAATTCCATCAGACTTCTGATTGTAAACTGATAAATTTCAATAACAAACTGATTGTAAACTGATAAATTTTAGGGCAAAACCAACCAGATGGATCAAATGATCAAAAGCCTTTATTTGTCTTCGGCATCCCAAGTAGAAAGCTTATCAAGAATGTAACGGTTGATCTTAGAGTTCAGCTCTTCCAGCAGGCGGTTCCTTTCCCTAATTTCAGAAAACATGATCGGAAACTCTTCCAGCCCTAGCTTGGCGATCTGGGTGATCTCCATCTGGTTCTTTTTCTTATCCTTTTTCTTGTTATCGTAAACTTTCTTTGGTTTGATAAGCTATATAGAGAAATGCAAAAAAAAAAAAAAAAAAAAAGCAAGGATTTAACAAAAGGCTATATTTTTAAGGGATAAGAAAGGCCAAAAGTTTTCCAACAAATTTATTGAAACTACCTCAAACTTGGGTTTCCTTGACCTGCGATGCTTCTTCTGGGAAACTTTTTCGAACCCAGTTTGTTGTCTTGCACCCTTAAAATTCTTCATTTCTTCTTCGTCTCTGCCAATCATCAGCAGTTAAGCCTACCCTTAAAAAATTTGCTAAGAGAGTTCATACTGCACAGCTTTTGCTAAGAGAGTTCATATTACACAGCTTGCTTGTTAAGAAAGCATTTATTTATCCAAAAGCTTTTGATTTTGTATTTTAGTTTGACCAAAAAAAGCTGTAGGCCTTTTTTTTCCGCGAGCATAAGGTATGTGTCTTGTGCGGAAATAAATGAGATAAATCCAGGTTAAAAGAAGTGACTGTTGAATCTGAAAATACTCAATTTACGTCTTAGCGTATTTGAATTTTAAGATTTTTTTATATTAAATTTAATTATAATATAAAGATAAATTAATTAAATTTTACTATTTTTATATTCTTTACATTTTGTTTAATTAAATCATATGTTCAAAATAAGTAAATTGAATATGCCAAATTTCAAATATTTAAAAATATTTAACTATTTATTTGATAGCAATATGATTTCAATTGTTAAAGTATATATTAAAATAATTATATTTTAAATCGGTGTAATATGTATATTGGATCAGTTTAAACCTTTTTTCTTTTCTAAATATGTTATTAAATCTAATCATTGATTTGTTAAAATATTAATTATAAACAAATTTATAAAAAAAAAAAGTGTAAAACTTAAATAGATTTTACCCAAGGAATTATTTTCATCAATTTTGAATTTAGATAAGAATTTTTTGCACCTATATATAAAATAAAGAAGGCTAAAAGGTCTAAAAAAAATCTAAGAACTATAATTAAAAATCTAAGACAAAAATAATATTTTAGAAGAAATAATTCTTGATACTCTATCTAGATATTAGAGAGTAACTAATAATTATCTTCTACAAAGAGTGGTATTTTTATTTTAAAGAATATTGTGTTAAATTTTAAATGAAAAGAGTTATTCTAAATTCTGCCTAAATGTTAAAGAATTTTAAGATAATTTTTTAACTTAAAGATTTTCTCAGTATTCCTAAATAAAGAATTTTAACAAAAAATTATTTTAAAATGAAGGGAATTAGTATTAAATTTTAAATCAAAATCATTTCATCCAACACTGAAAATAGCGCATAATTAATTGATACTAATTTATGAACATTATTGGGGTGCTAATCCTTTCCTATGCATAATCGATTCCTAAACTCAAGATCTGTTTTAATAGATCAAAATTTATCTTTTGATAAATTTTATACTTGGTTTTATAGTTTATTTAAAAAAATAAACTTTTGGGTGGCCAATTACACCATAAAAAGGATTGATGACAACTCCTTCCATTTTTTTTCAATTTTAAAACTCTTTTAGTCGGGTGATCCCAAAACTGTTACGACACCCATCACTAGGATGTTTCTTGTCAATGCTTTCCAGTAGAAGATCTAAACTTTCAAAGGAGCTAAACCTTTCCAAATGTAACTTTAGTCGGTGTTACATTGTTTGAGGGTTTCTCTAACTCATTTCTAAAGGATTTTGGCTTGTAAACACTGTTTGTTGCATAGCCTAAATCAATCTATCAGGGGCTGGAGGTGAAGGAGAGGCAAAGTAAAAAGTGTAATGACTGGGTTCCAAAGGCCAGACTCCCAGTGAAAGAGGTTTCTCTCCAGTGGAATGTGCCAATGCCATTTCATCCCCTTTCAAACAACATAGATGTTAATCCATTTACCATACCATAATTTTATCCTTGCTTCATGTAGACATCGAATTTTATCCAGATCTACTATATTAAATCTTGTTTTCAAGTTTCATTTATTACTATTAAAATTAATTAATATTAAATATAATAATTAATAAAAATAGAAACAAAAAAAGGACTAGGGTGGCAGTGGTGTCTTGTATGGCGCCACTGGTGACCCACCTTACTGGCCATCCCATACCCTATCCCAATCATACCCTGCACTATCAGAACCCTTACCAGCCACCACCCACTCCACCTACCCCCCAAACACCTAGCCCTTTAAAATACCTAGCTCCATCCCTTGATCAAATTATGAAAAAAAAAAAGAGCCCCAACTCTGGGACATCCAAAAACCCAGAGCTTTCTCCCGTCGACCAGACCCCAAAACCCTAGCCATTCTCTCTACGTTAGCCCTTCACACAGCTACCTCTATCCCAACGACCTTGCACCAAGTCACTTTACCTTTCAAACCTACCTTTCCACAGTAAACAAACCTTTAAAAAACAAACCCAAAAAAATTAGCCAAAAAGAAAAGACAAAACAAAACAAAAATCACAAACACAATCCTCCCCGTAGGGAGGAAACTAGCGTTGAGCAACTTGCAAAAACAAAAAAAATATCAGTTTTGGGTTTTTTTTTTTTAAAAAAGACTAAAGCTTTAAACCTCGATCTACGTTGATCGAGGTTGTTCCTAGCAAAAAGAATACTGGATCTAAAAAAAAGACATTGAGGAGAATTTTTTAGAAATTTTTGGCATTTTTTGGTATCGACGACCACCGACAGTGCCCACTAACGGCGACCTCAGGCAATGGTCGACACGATGGCACGGTGCTAGATTTTGGCGAGGCCAGAGAGATTTTGTACGGCTGAGGATTTTTTTTTTTAAGAGAGGATAAAATGAAGAAAATTTTTTTTAGGTTTTATATAAGGTAAAAGAAACCCAAAATAATGTTGTTTTGGATCAAGGGGATCCCAAATGGACCCGAATTCAACTCGAGATTCGTGCAACCCGATCTAGCAACCCACTTCAACCAGCCTTCAATCGATCTAGATGAATTGCCAATGAACCAATTCAGATTGGTCTAAACCGTTAAACCACCGAGCCAACCAAATCAACTCGTTAATCAATCCGATTTAGGTAAAAAAAATTTTGAATTTTTTTATATATTATTTTTGTTATTTTAAATTTTATTATTAATTTTTATGCATGTTAAAATGCTAGAATAAATATTTGTTATTTCATAATAATAATAATTTATAATAGTAAATAATATTGCTTTAGCACGAACAAGATTTTTTTGAATATTATGTGCTATTATTTTTGAATTTTTTGGTGATTTTCCAAGACAACACTATTAATGGTTTCATTATGATTGGTAAGAAATCTAATAAGCTCAAGAAAATTTCTTGATTATGAAAATTCTCAGTTTCATCTCTACCACAAAATGTAAAACCTTGACATAAAAGAAAATGAATACAATCAAGTGTCGTAGTTAAGCAAACTCAATAATCTTTTCATGTTTGATTGAATTATTTTGCAAAAGCAAATTGAATATATTGCTTTTGATTTAGCAAATATTGACAACACTTTCAAGCTTTGTTATGAGCGCTTTTAGGACCTTCAACATGAATATCAAATCTTTCTTCTTCTTTTTTCAATTTGTGAATTTATTTGAAATAAAACAATCACCATCTGCTTGCTCTCCAATATTTGTTTTATAAGGATAACAACTCAAATAAAAACTGGCATCTTTCTCTATATATATTCCAACCAATTAGCATAATCTTTGAATCACGTAGGAATAAAATGACGTAATGCCTTTTCAAATTTTCTTTGAGGAAATTTATGTTTATAAGGTTGACATGGATTTTTTTTGCAAATAAGCTCTTCGAACCTTGTCTATATCATTAGCAATATAGTCCAAATTTTTTTTTTATAACCAAAGATTCGAAAGAAGATTGTCTAAATTTAATTCAATATGAACTTGCTCTATATAATGTTGAATGCCACTAGTATTGATTCCAGATGATTCTTCAAAAATTTACTTCATCTTAATAAGATATTTTTCCATAACTAATTAAATTAAATAGTTTAATTTATGTAATTTATAAAAAATAAGAACATATATTCAAAATATAATTATGCATGTTAACGAAGCTTAACTAGCCCTATATTTGAAATATATGAGTAGAAATGTAATTCACATATTGTAATCATATTGCTATGCAAGAAATTGGATAGAACTTCTAACTAATTTTATAATTTATATATATAAATTAGCTTTCACTAAACTTAAATTATTAGCTGAATGAGTAATAGCTAAAAAAATAAAGAAAAATATAAAACATAAAAAATTTAAACATGATAAAAAAAATATAAAAGTTATCATTAACATGAATACATGATTAAATTATTTCATAAATATAATAATTTTCAAATAATAAATAAACATTATATATAAAAATATACAAAAAAATTAATTGATTAATTATAAAAATATATAAAAAATAACTTACTTGAATATCTTGTTTAAAAAAAAATCAACTTGTAATTTGTTTCTTTAATTTAAAGATTTTTTTTCTTTTCTTTTTTTTTCAATTTTCTTCTTTTGATTTTTCCTGTTTTCGTTTAAAAACCTAAAAGTGGCATAAATGGGAGAAAATGGACGAAAATGAAAACCGATAACATTTTACTTACAATCAATTATACTTTTTTATTTTTTATATAAACCTAAAAATAGTTTTTTATTCTCACGTCTGTCACTTCTAATTAATGAAGTTTGACTTTTACATAAATTATATATATAATTTTTTTGAGTGGGGTATTATAAATGAATTAAACTTTTTAAATATTTTTATAATATATTTTTGAAGGATTAAAGATCGGGTAACTGCCCCCAGTGCTCCACTGTGGATCCGTCCCTGGGTGTCCTAATTTAACCCAATTCATAGAAAGGGGCCTGCCCTTCTGACGGAAGTGGGTCCTTCAGTTTCCACATCAACTAAGGCACAGACATATCATCCTTTTGTCCAGGGCCCGCCTTCAACACTTTGAACCTTTGTGAGCGCCGTGCCCCGGATGACCAAATTCTGGCCGTATGCGTGGCACCCGGCATCACACCACTCGAGCTCCCACGTCGAACGGAAATTGAAAGAGTAAATGCTGCCTGACTTGAAAGATCTTTCTAGACTAGTCAGCTTACCCTTCTGCCTACTAGCGTCCTTTACTAATTGAAACTGAACTCTCAGCTGACTTGATGGAAGGAGTGAGAACCATGGAGTTGAATAGAACTAGATTGATTGGTGAAACTCTCAAATGCCATAGAGCCTTTTGCACTCGACCTATTTCGGCTTTATCATGCCATGCTTCCAACTTCTAT